ATTCTATTCTCGCAATCTTTTATTCTGTTGCGTTTGCTTTCAATAGAGTTTTTAATCTCCTGGATATCCGTTTGAATCTGTTTAATGAATTCCATTTCTTTCCTATGTTGGGTGTTCACTGTTTCCATTTCTTTCTTATGCTGGGCCTTCATGACTTCTATTATGTTCCTAAGCTCATCTATTTTTTTTTTTTTGGTCAGTTTCTGTTCTGGAGTCTTGAATCGTGTCTTTCATTTTGCTCACCATCTCTATGGTTATCTGGGAAATAATTTATGTTTTGAATTTTTCTAGAGCTTGACTGATCAGTTTTTTTACTTCCTGTGCTGTGAGTTCTGAGTGTCCTGGAGGTTCACTATCTGATTTTTTCATCCTCCTTTGCCCTACTGTTTGCCATTGGTGGACTGGAAGTCTGTCTTTGTGGCTTAAGTGTTTCCTCATCTTTATTTCTGATGTTGGGTTGCCCTTGATTCAATGTCTGGGTCATTAAATCTTCCTATCATTGCATCCCAGTCTTTGATTCTCTAATGAGTTATAGACATTCTCATTTTCATAATTGAGAAAACAACTCATCAAATCAATCCCTATCCTTTATCCCTATCAATACAATCAGGAACATAATAGGATCAATCACCACCCTTTATAGCCCTCCATGCCTCTGCAGAGTGCGTCCAAGGACTGGCTGAATCAGGGGATCTAATAGCCGGGGGCCGGGTGCTTAGTGTCACCCTCGCAGCTACCCTCCTGGTGCTGTGTCAGAGCCAATCAGAGGAGGCCCATAGTTTGGGCCAGGACGCGCAGCAGAGGTGGCTCTCGGTAATGTTCTTAAAGTCCCAGCTACTTGGGAGGCTGAAACAGGACCTTGAGTCCAGTTCAAGACCAGCCTGTGCAACACACAGAGACTCTATCTTTAAATAAATAATCTTCAAAGTTGAAGCTTTGGTTAGTTCAGCCTCCCACAAAATCAGGCTACACATTCACAACATCTAGCCCAGCATCACTAGAAAAGCAGTTTAATGTGTTGGATAGCCTCAGAGTACTAGCTACAAAGTCGCTCTGACTATGTTCAAGTCCTTGCTGTGAGGTGTTGGACATGTTAAACCTCTCTGTATCTTAGTATTCTCATCTTTAAAATGCAGCACCTATGTTACAAGATTGAGATCTTAGAGAGTCAATACAGTAAAGCTTTAAGAATGATATAAGGCAAATTTAAGATAAAAGGACGAGCACATTCTGTTAGTGTTCAGCTCTAGTTCTTGGTATATTTTAAATTAACCTGAAATCTATGCAGTTTGGATCCATTTGAACCTTGTTCTTCTGAAAACACCCAGAACAAGTTTTTCCATGCACTACAGCCACTCAAATAATTGTAGGTAATTCTCATTTCTCCGCAGATCTCCTTTCTCAGCTAGAGAATAGTAATTTGTCGTCAAGCTCACTATTCTAACTTCTTATCAAAATAACTTGATAAGTTAATTCCCAATACACCAAGTGTGCCTCTCAATTTTGCATCTCTTTGTAAGACCTGGACACTTTCCAAAAGGAAGGAACAATCACTTCACATGTTGAGCAATAACTGTATTTCTTTTTCTTTTGGTACTGGGGATCAAACTTGGGTCCTTATGCCTGTGAGGGAGGCACTGGAACCACTGAGCTAAATCCCTGGCCCAAGTCACTGTATTTCTTTAAGGCAGTCTAACAGGGAGAGAGAGGCAGAAAGGAGTATCATGCATTTACTCAGTACAATCGCCCTGTAATCAACTAGAATGATGAAATTCACTTGCATCTTTTCCTTTTCTATTATTAGATGTTTGTAATAAATAATTACATTCATCTTGGAGGGATTAGTACTTTCCCATATCCCATCTTTACTCCCCATTACCCCTACCCAACTCTACTCACCTTTCCTGGATCCCCTTCCCATCTCCACAAAATCTACCTCCATGTTTCCTATCATTTCTCTTTTATTTCACTCTTTAAGTCATATTTCAGGTTTCTCATATAAGAGAAAACATTTAACCTTCTATGTTTAATTTATTTCACTTCCCATTTGAATCTCAAGATCCATCTGTTTTCCTACAAATGACTCCTTATAGCTGAATAGTTCTCCACTGTGTATAAATACACTTTCTTCACCCATTCATCTGTTGATGGACATAAAGGCCGCTTTCAAGATATAGCCATTATGAATTATACTGCTTAAACACAGACATGCATGTAGCTATGATATGATGTTTTTAACTCTTTCAGAAAGATACTTAGAAAGGGGAACAGCTAGATTAAATGGAACTTCAAGTTTAAGTTTTTGAGTAATTTCCATAGATTTCCATAGTGGCTGTACTAATTTACCATGCCACCAACAGTGTAGAAAAGTTTCTTTTCCTCCATAACCTTGCCAGCATTTTTTGTCTTTTGAGTTTTGATAACCATTCTTACTAGAGTAAGATGGAAAATCAGTGCTGTTTTAATTTGCCTTTCTCTAATGACCAGACATATGGAACATTTTTTTTCATACAATTATTTAGCATTTGCACTTCTTCTTTCCAGAAACATATTCATCTCAATTGCTCATTTTTATTGGGGGATTTTGAGTTCTTTATATATTTTAGATATTAGTCTCAGCTTGAGGATAGCAAAATTTCTTCTGTTTATACATTCTCTTCACTGTTAGTGGTTCCTTTGTTGTGCAGAAGGTTTTTCATTTGATCTGATGACATCTGCTGTTTCCTGGTATTATTTCTTGTGCGACTGGGATCGTTATTCATCAAGTCCTTGTCTATGCCTCTGTCTTCAAGAGTTTTACCAATTTTATCATTCAACAGATTCAATGTTTTTGTTTTTATGTAGAGCCCTTTGATCCATTTTGACTTGAGTACAGTGAAATATATGGGTCTAGAGTTATTCTTCTGCATGTAAAAAACCAATTTTCCCGGAACCACTTGTTAAAGAGACAATCTTTTCTCCAGCCTATGTTCTTGGTCCCTTTGTCAATGTTCATATGGCTGAAGGTGCATGGCATTGTTTCTATCCTCAACTCTAGTCCATTGGTCAACAGGTCAGTTTCTGCGCTAGTATCATGTTGTTTTTGATATTGTAGCTTTGGAGTTAAAGTTGAAATCCAGGATTGTAACACCTCTTATTTTGATCTTTTTGCTCAGGACTGCTGATTTAAGTCACTTTCTCATCAGTGAGAAGTGTACATGATGCCCACAACTTAAAGGAGGAGTGGTTTATTCTAGCTTACCATTTTAGAAGTCTCAGTCCTTGCATAGTCAGTGGAATAATGGAAAGACCTGAGCAAATGAAACCTGCTCACATCATGGTGGCCAGGGAGCAGAGAAAGTGAAGGGAGGAGCCGGAAGGGAGATACACATTCCAGGTCAAGTTCCTGGTGACCTGCCTCTTTCAACCAGACCCCACCACCTCCTAACAGCAAGTCACCTATAGCACCCCCATGATGTAATCCTCTTCCTAAAGTTCTGTGAGCACATGAGGCCCTTGGAGACATTTTAGATATAAATTATAACTATTACTTTGGTTATTCTGGCTCTCTTCTGGTTCCATGTAAATTTTGGGATTTCCTCTAGTTTTGTAAAGAACATTGCTGGTATTTTGAATGGAATTGCATTAAATCTATATACTACTTTTGGTACTATGGCCATTCTAAGTCCTCAATCTTTTCTTGGAGCACTATAGTTTTCATTATAGAAGTCTTTCACTTTCTTGGTTAGATTAATTCCTAAGTGTTAAGTTTTTTGAAGCTATTGTAAATGGGATTGTTTGCCTGTTATTTTTGGTTTTGGTAGTTTCACTGTTGGTGTACAGAAACATATTTACTTTTGTATGTCTATTTTGTATCCTGCCATTTTGCTGAAATTATTAATTCTAAGAATTTTCTGGTGGGGGTCTTCTATGTAAAAGATCATGTCCATTTGTACCTTCTACATCATGTCCTATCTTACACAACTCTACTAACTAGACTTGGGGATGTATTAGCAGAACTAGCTTAAATTTCCTTTCACTAGATTTAGGGTCATTTGTTAATCTATAGCTGATTCTCTTAATCAACTGATTGGGCTGTCCAGTTTAAACAGATTGTTTGACATTGCAAAGTGAAATACAACTGGAGAAAAAATAATAGTGTATGCTTTTTAAATGCAAGTTTTAAGAAATTTCACATATACATATTTAAAACATTAGGAGGTAGATACTATTATCATAATTATATTATCAAATTTTACAGATAAGCAGTTACTTATTGAATCCTTCCCTCTCACTTAATCTATTTCCAAGACCAGTTACCAAGTGCCCAGTTATTAATTCTTTCAGTGTGTCCCCTCCCAGCTGGTCCCTCTGTCACCATTGTAGCTGATTTTTCTTGTGTCCAATCTTGCCATTATCATAGCCTTATAATGGCCTCTCCTTTCTCTGCCATTTTCTACCCTGCTCTTCATATTCCTGGAATATTTTTAATGTGCTATTCTTGCTTAAAACTTTTAATGGCTCTTCATTTCCATCAAATAGGAACTGAAATAAAAACTGAGTTCTTACGCCATTACTTGGTATGGCATTAAAGTCTCTCACCACCAGGGCAGTAGTTCATCTCTCCTCCCTCTCTGGTCCCTTTTTAGCCCTTGCTTCTCAAAGTTTTAGCCAGCAGGATACACAGGAAAAGGTGTGATTGCCGGAACACACTGAGCACTTATCTGCTACCATGTCTTTGAGCATTCATCCACAAATATTTATCATCCACCATGGGTCCTACGTGTATTAAGCACTTGGTCTGCACTATCCTGTTTAATTACAACCTGAACCCCATGAGGTAAGCACTGCTGTCTTTTTTATAGAGAAGAGCAAACTGAAGCACAGAGGAGACAACCTGCCAAGCATCGCATTCAGCTGAATATGGAGAAGGGTGGCTTCGCTGATCCCGGAGCCCAAGCACTTTCCCACCAGACTCCCAGCCAACTTGCTCTTCTGCTACCAGGCCATCTTCTACCTACCTGGGTCAGACTAGGAGTCTTGGCTGGCAGGAACTGTGCCTACAGTGACGATCCTTTACTAGTTGACTGGAACATTTGTTCACTACCTTAGGGAGGATGAAGACACGTTTCAGCAAAACCTGGAAAATACTGGTTCGTTCAACCTAAAGTCCTAGCGGGTTCCACCGCTGAGTCACTAACAGATTTTAAGAGGAAGGGCCCAGGCACAGGAGCCCAAACTTACCAGATTCTCACCACCACTTGCTGCCTGTATTCGCAGCACCGGACAGGCAGTTTACTGCGGTTACCACGGCAACGTCACCCACTTCCAGGAGGGCGGAAATAAGCCAGCTGTAAAGAGCTTGCGCGGCCCTGAGCCAGACTTAAATCTGAGTTTCCGCAGCGACCTTGACGCTCTGTCCAGTTGGCCTCCCGCGGAAACCAGCCCCCCATACCGGTTCAGGGTGAAATGGAAAGCGTCAGGCCAGTTCATTATCCGCTAAAGATGCCATGTTGATGTTAAATGATATTTGACTACTTGGCGAAAATGCGTTCTTGCCTTCTATTGCAAAGTGGCGTAGGGCGGCGCTGATCACAGCAGCGGTCTTGCGCCGGAAAGTTTTAACTTGGAATCTAAAGTTCCTAGGCAAGTATTACTTGTCAATGACAAAATTTTAAAAGCTAAGGGGGCGGGTGCGGTTCTGGGGACAGAAAGTAGCGCACCAGCAGCATCAACTGCACAAAGAAGTCCAGAGTGGGATGTGGGGGAGAGGTAGTAGGTTTTTGCTGCTGTTTGGTTGGCTGGTTTTAAACTTGATTATCTTTGTCAGCTTTTAAAGCATAACTAAGGTTGTAGATTCTGGACTTCTATGTTGCAGGCTGCTGGATACACACAAAATACAGGCACGGCCCTCAGGACCATTTGGTATTTAAAAGCTCCCCAAGCTTGGCAGTAATAGATATTGAAGTTTAAAGCAATGCGGGGGGCAGGGGTAAGGACTAATCAATTGACAAACACGAAGGAAAATGCATCTCAAAAAGAATGCGCTCGCAAAACAAGCAGGTAACTTGACATTTTGATAATGAGTAAGACTAAAATGGCTTATATCATAGCAATAAAATGTATTAAATACCAAGCTTCAGAAGGTAAAAATGAACAATACAGACTGAAGAATTTCTAATAATGCAAGAAGCTTTACCATAAATAAAATTAGCAGTGCTACAAGAAAATTATTTTGGCCACAAAATGAAAGAGCCAAAGAAAGAGCTGAATAAGGCACTTCCTAGAACAGTGACTTACACCTCCAGAGGGAAGGACCGTGATGTCCAGGTGGCAGCCCACACTTGAGAAGTTGCCTGAAAGAAAAACCTATCCTTGCAATCTGCTTAGATTCTCAACTGGGAAGATTGGTAACAATTTTCTGTATTTATGTAATTCTGTTTCAAACACCAACTATACCATTAAGTCAGTTACTACATTTAGACATCTGAGTTCTATGATCATTATTTATTTGATGTACATTATCATTGTTGATATTTTCACATTTAAAAACCAAATTAAGATGCTTAGAATTTATACAATCATTCTCAATTCCTTAAGCAAATATAAACATTGCCAACACCCAATTTTTAAAGCTGTACATTCTCCTTGGAAAAGGTGAGAGACAGCAGTAATTTCCCACCAAAGAAGAAACCAGATGTGTTATATTTTTCTGAAAACCCGACAAATTACACAGAGGCATTTCAGTGCAAGTATATGAAAAACAACTTAGTCCTTCAAGAAAAAAAAAAAGAAATAGATCGACATTTAAGATGTACTGAATAAAAAAACCTTAACAAAGATGATGATTAAAATGTATTACTTTTTTAAAAAGAACCTTAAAATATTTTAGGAATTATTAGAATATAAAACTTTAATTCCTCTGTAGTCAAATTTTATTCACAGAGAATTATAAGGGTGATTGGTTGTTGAAAACCTATTTGAAAATAAAAAAATAAAAATAAAATAACTTTTTTTCTCTGTCCCATTAGTATTAATTCATAGGATCTTTGTAGGTTTTATCTGAAGGAGTAAAATCTGTGAAGGTGTAGGAAAAAGCGAGTGGAAAGTCAACAATAAAATATCGAGAACAAACTCTATAAAAGGTGACTTCAACTTCACTTATGACATGTGGGTAGAAAGAGCAAACCAGCCTTCATTTTGTTTTTCAATCTGTTGAATAAAGAGGCAGAAAGGATTTAGCAGATAACCAGAAACATGAAACCATCCAACATTTACATAGCATTTATATATAGTATACAATAAAGTTATCTTATGTCACTAAATGGTAGTGGCAATATTTCTTTTTTTTTTTTTTCATGGTTTCTTTCTTTTTTTTTTTTCAGCTTTAATTGAGTTTATTGGTACATTTTAGGGATACAGTGCAGTTACATTCATTGTTGGGATCTTGTACCTCTACATGACAAGTCTTGATTCTCATTTTTTCTCCTTACCTCTGCCCTCTGGTAGTGGCGATATTTCTTCTCTAACAGAGCATACCAAATAACTGATTGCCTTACTAATTAGAGGCCCACTTTCTGTTAAAAGGATAAATCCAGTGGTTTAAAGGTACAACTTTTTTAAATGATAAAAAGAAATTATTTGATCTTAGTAAATTAAATGCTACCAAGTGCCTGGAACAAAGGGTAAATTATATAAAACAGTTAATCTGAAAGCCTTTTTAGAATATAAGAAATAGCAAAGGATAAATCTTCTAGTGCTAGGCTAGTGGGAATAGCTAAATCTCTCCTTTGGGCTATAACACCTACTCTTTGATCTAATTACTAAAGTTAGTAGTAAGACTAGCAAACATTCCCCCACATCAGACAGTTGTTGGTTTGGGCCTACAAAAGTAGTTTTTTAAAATTATTTTAAAGATATTCTCACAATTCCCTATGATAAAACACTGAAAGGAACTGTATTTTACAAAACGAAACAACAACAACAAAATGAAAATGCCTTCTGTAAAACTTTTGGATACATACTGAAATGCTTAGTTTCTATACATTCTTGTAACAGTATAACATATAATAGGCAACATGAAGAATATATAAATTTGTTTACCCTCTGTGCCATAACCTGGCACACTGAGATAAAATTCCTGGACCCCAGGCTCTAGCTGTCCCATACTCTAACCAGTCACAGAAAGGATGGGGAAAACACCATCTCAGTACACCTACCACCCATCCAAGGCCCATTCATTGTGTGTCCTGCCACAATATTTGGAGAGCCCTGCCTGAAACCAGTAATTTCCAGTCTTAAAAAACTGTTAAAATCTTATTGAATTATACATCATTCTTTACTCTGGAAAACAGAAGTACATGATTTGTTTTTTCTAATGAAGATGAATTATAGTATTTTTTGTGAGGATTTTATATCATTTTCAGGATAACAGCTAATAACAGCTAAGAATGGAAATCACTAAAATCAATCACCTTCTACCCTCACCCTCACCCTCATGACTCCTACACACATTTCACAATTACATTTTATAATGTACCTTTGTTCTTAGATTAACAGGTGTGAGTTGTCCACTTCCTGAGGTGGCATTTAAAGGAGAACAAGAATTACTAGTAGCCCCTGAAGATCTATTTATGAGAATAAAAACATAATGAGAATGAGCTCATGTTAACCTTCACAAATGGCAAGCAATGACAATTCTTAATACTGGCAAAAGCCTGAAAAAGAATGGCTGACTTAGATCCAAATTAGGAAAATAATTTCACCAACCTACAATGCTTCTTTAAAAAAAAAAAAAGAAAAAGAATTTATTTTTTAGAGCAGTTTTGAGTTTACAGAAAGACTGAGTGGAAAATACAGATACTTCACATCCCCGTACCTCTACCTTAGCAGTTTCCCCAATTCACTGTATTAAGTGTGGCACACCTGTTACAAGCGATGATCCAGTATCCACACATTAACCAAAATTCATGCTTTTTTCTCTTGTTTTTGCAGCATCGGAGACTGAACTACTTCATGCTTTACATTAGGGTTTATTCTTTATGTGATGCATTCTGTGGATTCTGTCAAATGTGCCTGCCATTACGGTATCATACAGATAAGTTTCTGACATTAAAGGGAAAAATGGGTATGCAATGGTGGGCAAGAGAGTCAGGACAGCAGAGAATAATGAGATGGAGCCGTGCAGTACATGTCAGGGTACAGAGCAATCACAGAAAAGTCAGGTACATCTTTAATGTCACCCCTCACCTACCATGTGACCCCTTTGGCAGATCACTCAGCTTGTGGCTTTGGTTTCACTGCCAGCCAATTCACCCATCTTTTCATGTATTACCTCTTAATTTTGTAACTCATAAATACTCTACGTAGGTGGTTAGCCCATTTTGTTTGCAGTAGCCAGCCTATTATTTTCTACTTAACCTTGTTTCTCTTTCTCCCCCCAAACTCTCCTCTCCAATTATTTTCTCTTTATTAGTCTTTCTGAATGTTAAGTTAGATGTCATGTTCATCCTTTTATCACAAAGAGAATGAAACCCACACCACTCTTGATTTTTAAGACACTGCTCACACTGTAGCTACCTTCTTGTATTTGCCCCACTGACAGGAGAGACAGTATCATTGCCTTTGGGGCTCTCTGGGACTTCTGCTCCTGGAATACATATATCAATGGTCCTCTTTTCTCCTTCTGAAAAAAAAAAAAAGTTTCATTACCTGTCAGTAAGATAAAAATTCTGTTCAGTTTCAATCTTATTTTACAAATATGGAGTTCTTTCAATATTATTATCATTATGGCTCAGACACCTTTGCCAGATTTTTTGGAAAAATGTACTGCGAGACAAGAAAAATGGAAGCGGGGCCAGGGATTTAGCTCAGTGGTTCCGCCGCCTGCCTCACAAGCGCAAAGACCTGAGTTTGATCCCCGGTACCAAAAAAAAGAAAAATGGAGGAGACTGCCCTAAAGAATTTGAGATCTTTGTCCAAATAAGATATCTAAAGTTTAAAAGAAAGGGGAGAAATTTTTGAAGAAATTCAATAAAGCCTTCAACCTTTCAAATTTATTACATCATTGCCATTAGTGAGAATACTAACATATTTGAGGGGAAAGTTGGTTGAAGAGCTCATATGGCCAAAAGTAAGTATAATTATATACATTTTAAATATTTCAGAAGTAATTAATCAATCAATAAACATTCAGTAAATATTTACTAATGAAAGACTCAGGAGGTTGAGGCAGGAGGATCACTGTGAGTTCAAGGCCAGCCTGAACTATACAGACCCTGTCTCAACCAAACAGAACAAAATAACAACAAAAACACCCCACTAGAGATTACCTGGCTTTAAGGAAATTAAAATCTCATTTAATTTTATAAAATATTCCTCAGTTACCCTAGAAAACAAAAAATAGTTTTTCATGTATAGAATTTACTCTTATTTTTATCATTATTGCCCAGAGGCTCCTATGAAACCAAGAGTTTACTTTAAAAAAAGAATACCTTAAGACACAGAGCCATCAGAATGGAAAGAACACACATGCAAAACCACAGCTTGCTTTGAATTTCTGAAAAGAATTTAACTTCTCTGTGCTCAGCTTACTTATCAAATAGGTATAATTTCAACCCTGTCTACTCTCAGAATATGCTGAATTCTAAATGAAATAACAGAAATAAATTGACCTGTTAACCTTATAGAATCATTCCAGCAAAAAATATATTTAATCACAAAATTATTCTTCAGAGTGAGCTGCTTAATGTTTTTTCATTGAATTTAGCACTAACTGACATTACTA